TGCCCTTGACCGGAATCGAACCTGGGACCTTTCAGTCCGAAGACCGATGCTCTACCACTGAGCCAAACTGGTGTTGGCTGCATGTTTTCTTTGTCTCAAGGCAAAGTCCTTGTTGTATTTTTTTTTTTTTATAAGCGTATTTTTACTGATCGGAGAGGAACGGAGAGGGAGAGAGAAACATCCATGATGGGAGAGAATGATGGATAGGATCTAGACCATGGAGTTAGACAGCTGTGCTCACGCTTGGATTGCAGGTCTGACCCTCGCCGTGGGTGCAAATCACTTATCTTTTAACTAGAGGCCCGGTGCACGCAATTTGTGCACTGGGGTGTTTGTGTGTGTGTGTGTGTCTGTGTGTGTGTGTGTGTGTGTGTGTGTAGAGGGGCCTGCACCCTCTTGCAATCCAGGGACCCCTGGCTCCTAACCACTCACCTGCCTGCCTGATGGCCCCTAACTGCTCACCTGCCTGTCTGATGGCCCCTAACTGCTCACCTGCCTGCCTGATCACCCTTAACCGCTCGCCTGCCTGTCTGATCACCGCTCAGCGCCTCTGCCTCGGCCCCCGCTGCTGCGGCTTCATCGGGAAGGATGCCCGGAATGATGTCCAGAAGGTCGTTCGGCTGTCTGGTCTAATTAGCATATTAGGCTTTTATCGTTATAGATACCTCCGTTTTAAAAAGGATGACGAGATGATAGAAGGTATGCTCGCAGTATCTTCTTGAAACATCCATAGGAGAGGTCAAGTTAAATAAACCGAGGCGTCCCGTTATCCCTAACCTTTTAGAATTGTGACATCTTCTCATTTTTTCCCCCCGTCCCCATCCTAGTGAACGTCCGTGGGGGAGAGTTCCATGTGTAAGTAAGCCGATGGGAGAGGGTTTACCCCTTTAATATTCTCCGGGAAGGCCACCCACCGTTTTGTCAGCCTCCCTCTTCCTTTGGCGGGACCGTGGTGAGCGTCAGCAGTAGAAGTTAAACCCTCCTTCTGCCCGGGAAGCACATGTGGTGGCTCTTTCCACACAGGCCGGCAGGCAGGGAGGGGGCTCCGGGCCCCGAGAGGCTGCTCGGTCCCTTCCCGGCCTCCGCTCGCTCCCTCGCAGGCCGAGCGCCTGTGCGACCTCCATCTCTCCTTTGTCTGCCGTTTTCACTCCGCTCTTTAGGATCTGACGCAGGAAAGTAGGTAACCTACATCGAGACCCCACGTTTCCCTCCCACGGAGTCCTGTGTGCGCGGAGGCTGGCGCTCCTGTGATCCTACTGGCCCTGATTCTTTTTATTTCATCTTATTTTTTATTTTACTGATTTTTTTTTTTTTTTACAGAGACGAAAGGAGAGGGAGAGAGAGCTAGAAACACCCATGAGAGAGAAACATCCATCAGCTGCCTCCTGCACACCCCCCACTGGGGACGTGCCCGCAACCAAGGTACATGCCCTTGACCGAAATCGAACCCGGGACCCTTCAGTCTGCAGGTCGACGATGCTCTACCCACTAAGCCACACCGGTCGGGGCTATTTGCCCTGATTCTTAGACCCTCCACAGAGCCTTTATCTGCTCCACGTGCACAGGTCTCTTTGCTATCCCGATGCAGCCCTAGCTGGTGTGGCTCAGTGGATAGAGCATCGGCCTGGGGACTAAAGGGCCCCGGGTTGCAGGCTCCTCCCCGGCCCGGGGTCCTGGTAGGTGTGCATGCAGGAGGCAACCAATCCACATGTCTCTCCCACATGGATGTTTCTCTCTGTCTTTTCCTCTCTCTTTCACTCTCTCTAAAAACCAATGGAAAGACATCTCTGGGTCAGGATTTAAAAAGAAAAGAAAAATTATTTAAATAGCCCAATGCTTTCTGAGGCAGGCTGCGGGGAGAGGTCAAACGAGGGGAAAGTATTTCTAACACAGCGTATTTGCAATTTGGAAAACAGTGGAATTGTCTCAGAAAACGCCGCTATTGCTTAGAAGGAGGCTCTCGTACCTTTTTAAAATTTCTACTTTTTTATTTTTTTATTTTTATGGATTTCAGAGAGGAAAGGAGAGAGAGAAACATCCATAGATGAGAGAGAATCCTGGATCGGCTGCCTGCTGCATGCCGCCCCACACTGGGGATGGAGCCCACAATGCCGGGAATCGAACCATGACCCCCTGGTTCCTAGGCCGACACTCAACCACTGAGCCACACTGGCCGGGTTTGGATCTTGGGCGTCTGATGCTCGCACCGGGGAAGCCCACGGGAACCTGAGCGTGGAGGTCGGATCTGTTCTTGCTTTTGAGCTGCTGCTTGGCCAGGATCACCCCGAATGGCTTCCCTTTTGTTTGTACGGCCTGGCCGTGACTTCTGTGTGCATTCTTTTAAATCTCAGACACCGGAGCTGGCGAGGGCGGCTGCTCAGACTCCCAGCGGCAGGGAGTGCTCCCCATAGGATATTTCCTTTAGTGCTCCAGTCACATCGCAGCATGGGAACCTCCTGGGTAAAAGCCCGTCTCCACCCTCTGCCTTTGCCACCCTGCACGGGTGTGTGTGTGCGTGTGCGTGTGCGTGTGCGTGTGCGTGTGCGTGTGCGTGTGTGTGTGTGTACTCGGCCTGCCTGCCTGTCTGTCCGCGCAGGACCCGGTGGGAGCTTGCTGGCAGCAGCCAGCCAGCCAGCCGCCCTGGCAACCTTGACTGTGAATGGCAAACATGACCAGGATCCTCTCTCCTGCCAGGCCCCGGGGCCTCGGGCGGGCGGGAGGAGGGCAGAGCCCAGCCTACGTGACTCAACCGTACCCACTTCCTCTTTCATAAGCCGTCACATGACGAGCTGCCATCACAATCACCGCCTTGTCTGTGTGCGGATTGCAGACGCATTGCCTCACCCCAGAAACCCCGGCGCTGGGCTCTGGGGAGGCGAGGAGGAGGCGGTGCCTGCTGCAGAAGGCGCTGGAAGGGATCCAGCTGGGAGGGAAGGAGGGAGGGAGGGAGGGAGGGGGTGGGAGATGAAAACAAAGCTGTGTTTACTTAGCACACATGACAGAGCCGCTCTGAGCAGACATGAAAGGCCGGGCCTGAGCAGGAAAAGGCTCCATACAATCTCGCCGCTCTGCCCGGGGTCGGGCGCGCTGCAGGCCTTAACCTCCTTGATCCCGGATCCTTTTATGGCCCGGGGACGCCATAAAACCCGCCTTCCCATGTTCCCGAGAGCCCCGAGTTAGGGAAGTCACATGGATTCGGTTTCGACATTGGGGGAGCGGGAGGGGGAGGAGGAGGGGGAACGGGGCGTCGGACAAAAAGGAACTGCTCTCCCCGCGGAGAAGCCGTTGGTTGGGACAGAAATCCGCCCTCGGCGCCTTTTTGGGGCAGAGCTCGCCTCTCCCTGTTCCCGCGTGGGGCTTGGGGTCCCTGGAGGGTATGAGGGCTGCTCGCAGGTCAAGGTGCATAAAATAAGGGCCACGGCTCAAACCCCTCATTCTGTCATGTTTCGGGCACTGCCTAGCGAGGCCAGCTCTTTGGGGTGCTGAGTGGCTCACCTCCCTGCAGGGGGAAGACTAGGCCTGATCGGCTTTGGGCAGTGCAACCGCCCTACAAATCCCCCCCTCACCCCTGGGGCCAGGTTCTGGGGTGAGGCCATGCCTCTTGGTGGAGGAGAGTGAGCCAAGAAAGAGACAGGTCCCGAAAGAGGTGCCACAGCAGGGACCAGGCGTGCCCAAGCCCACGCTGTCCCCAGCTGCTCCCCCCCCCCCCCAGCCAGGAGGAGAGGGCAGGATCTGGAAGGGAGGGGAAGGCCTCTCTGGGGGCCCCCCCTTCTCTGGAAATCCCCGGGAGAGCGAGCGGAGGCGCAGCGTCCGTCTGCACACATTTAGGTCTGGCACTGCGTCTCCGGGGCCACCGCGAACAGGTTTTTTCATGCGCCGTAAGCAGCTCCCTGCACTATTGTTTTTCCAAGCGTGTTTTTCCTCTTCCCGGTGCTTAATCCTTTGAAGCAACCTGCCATTTTCAACAGCAACTGGGGAGAAACGTCAGCAGGATCTCTCTCTCTCTCTCTCTCTCTCTCTTTCCCCGCCTACCAATCCGGTGGAAGGAGCGATGATATAATTAGTACCCTGTTCTTCCCACACCTCACCCGCTCTGCTCATGCCAGGCCCCGGGAGCCACGCGGGCCTGTTTTTTCCAACAAAAGCGGCTCCAGAGGCCAGCCGGCCTTGCAGAGTTGCAAGTGTCAGAATTCCAGCAGCCGAGAGTGACTAAGCCTGGGCCTATTAGTCAGGGAGGGAAGGACCCGCCAAAGTGATTGACTGGAGCACGCGCCAGCTCCTCCCCGCGAGGCAAGGGTGAAACTCCAGAGCTCGGTGCATGCAGCCCGGTCAGCAGAGCTGCGGCTGCCAACCCTGGCGGGGGCGCGGTTGAGAGGGGGGGACACCTTGGGGCTACAGCTGGGCCCTGGGAGCGTGGGGGGTGCACATCCGCTCCGCCCCAGACCCCCAGGCCCGCATGGGCCCCCCAACCGCCTCCATCCACGCGGGCCCAGCGGAGCAGGGCGGGGCGGGGGGCTTGCAAGAGCTAGGGGGCGGGGCCTGGACGGCGAGGGGCGGGGCATGCGCCGTGACGCAGCACGCTGGCCGCCGCCGGCTCCCTGGAATGTGTGTGCGCGCGCAGGGACGCCGCCAACGCCGCCGCCGAGTCACGTCCGCGCGGAGCATGCGCAGTCGGCGGCCCCGCGCCCACGTCATGCGCCCGCCTGGGACCTACATAAGAGGCCCGGGCGCTGGCGCCGCGAGCTCTGGCGCTTAGGGAGGCCAGACCGACGGGATCCGGTCGTCCTGCGCCCCCGCCTTCCGGAAGGTCCCAGACTAGGGGACATCCTCCTTCCTGTGTTAAGAAAACTTGGGGCTCGGCGGCGTGTGTGTCCCCCCTCCTCCCCCCAAACCCCCGAGACACACATGCGAGTGTAAAGCACCACCACCCAGCAGTACAAATGCGACTCCTCCAACCCCCGGGGAGCCACGCCGCTGCCCCCGGGCAGCCAGGGCGCAGAATGGCGGCCCTTTTAAAACACGGGGTGATGAGCATGATGTTTCCCCCCCAAAAAAAACACGGGGCGGGAGGGGAGAGCGCGATCGAGGTTGGCGGCGGCTGGAGACACGCAGCCCCGCGCGGGCGGAGCGGGCTCTCCCCGCGGCGCTGGGGCTGCGCGCGGGGGCGGGGCGGGGCGGGCGCGGGGGCGCGCGAGGCGGGCGGGCGGGCGGGCGCGCGCCGGGCGGAGGGGAGGGGGCCGCGCAGGCGCCGTGCGGGGCTGTCGAAGAATCGAGCCCGTAGAAGTGGGGCGGGCGGCGGCGGCGCGGCAGCAGCAGCCCCGGCGGCGGCGCAGCGGCGGGCGGAGCGCGGAGAGCGCGCGCTGGAGAGCGGCGGCGGCGGCGGCGGCGGCGGCGACGCCCGGAGCGGAGGGAGCAGCGCAGCGACCGGGGCCCGGAGCAGCGCCTGCCCGCCGCCTCCTCCTCCTCCTCCTCTTCCTCCTCCTCCTCCTGCTGCTCCGCGCGGCATGCCTCGCCGCTCGCGCTGAGCGGCCCCCGCCCCCAGGCCTCCCCGCACTCCGCCGCCGCGACCTGCTGCGCTCCCCCGCGCCCGCGCGGCCCGTCTTCGCCCCGGTCTGGAGGCCCGCCGCCCCGGCCGAGCCCCCGCCGAGGCCGCCTTCGCCGCCGCCCGCCCGCGCCCGCGCCCGCGCCCGCCGCCGGGGGGCCGTGCTGCCCCCGCGCCCGCCGCCGCCGCCGCTGGAGGTGGTGGGGGAGCCGCGGGGTTGGGGGGGCCGGCGGGCGCGCGCGGGCGGCGGCGGCGGCGGCGGCGCGGACATGGCCGCGGCGGTGGCGGTGGCGGCCGCGTCCCGGCGCCAGTCGTGCTACCTGTGTGACCTGCCCCGCATGCCCTGGGCCATGCTCTGGGACTTCACGGAGCCCGTGTGCCGCGGCTGCGTCAACTACGAGGGCGCCGACCGCGTGGAGCTGGTCATCGAGGCGGCGCGGCAGCTGAAGCGGGCGCACGGCTGCTGCCCCGAGGGCCGCTCCCCGCCCGGCGCGCCGGTGCCCGCCGCGGGGGCCCCGGCCGCCGCCGCCGCCGCCGCCTCCGCCGCCGCCGCTTCCAAGCCGCCGCCGCCGCTGTCGGCCAAGGACCTGCTGCTGCAGCCGCCGCAGCTCGGCCCCGAGGCGGCCGCCGCGCGCGCCCCGCAGGCGCTGGAGCGCTACCCGCTGGCGGCCGAGCGCCCGCCGCCGCGCCTGGGCCTCGGCCCCGCGGACTTCGCCGGCTCCGGGGCCTCCCGCTCGGCCGCGGGCCTGGCCCCGCCGCCGCCGCCGGGGACGGTGAACGGCATCCTGGTGCCCAACGGCTTCGCCAAACTGGAGGAGCCGCCCGAGCTGAGCCGCCAGAGCCCCACGCCGCGCCGCGGCCACGCCGCGCCGCCCACGCTGGTGCCGCTGGTGAACGGCGCGGCCGCGCTGGGGCTCGGGGGCCGCGCCGCCTCCGCCGCTGCCGCCGCCGCCGCCGCCGCCGCGCTGGTCGCCGTGTCCGGGCCCGCGGCCGGCGGCCTGGGAGCCGCCGAGCTGGCCGTGCACAAGCGGCCCGCGTCCGTGTCCGGCGAGCACGAGCCCCGCGAGGCCGCGGCTGCAGCTGCAGCTGCAGCGGCTGCAAAGGAGAAGGCGCCGCCGCCGCCCGCGCACCGCGGCCCCGCCGACGGCCTGGGGCCCGCCGGGGCCGGGCCCGCCGAGCTGGGGGCCGAGGCTGCAGCCGCGGGCAAGGGCCGCGCGCCCCCCGGGGACCAGGACTGGGTGTCGCGGCCCAAGACGGTGCGGGACACGCTGCTGGCGCTGCACCAGCACGGCCACGCGGCCGCCTTCGAGGGCAAGTTCAAGAAGGAGCCGCCGCTGAGCGCAGGCAGGTTGCTGGGGTTCGAGGCCGGCGGGGCCAGCGGGTCGAAAGCAGGTAGGGGTTGGCCGTGGAGGTGGCGGGGAGGGCCCGAGGGGGACCCCGGCTAGGGGTGCAGGGGCGGGGGAAGGGGACCCAGGGCTGCAGCGCAGGGGGGTGGAGTGGGGGGGAGGTTCTTTGCATTCACATCTGCACCCTCCTCTCCCCCCCCCCCACCAAAGCCTCAGCCTCAGCCCAGAAACAACAAACAGGCAGCTTCCTGCTGGCCCCGCGGAGGGAGGAGGGAGGGAGGGAGGGAGGGAGGAAGGCTCCCTGTGCTTGTGCTGAAGCAGCACAACGGGGATGAGTCAGGCTGGGCCTGACCCCGGGGTTCCTGGAGCAGCTGGGCCCCAGGCACCTTTTGCATGGGGGGGGGGGGCAGGAGGGGGAGCCTTCACCCCCCCCCCAGGCCACAGGTCACACCGGGGACAGGCGTGCACTGGGTAACAATAGGCAGGCACCCCCATGGGCCAGTGTCTGTGGCTTTTTTTATTTTATATATTTTTTGAGACTTTATTTTTTTATTTATTGCTTTTTTAAATGTCAGTTCCGCTTATGTAGACATTCCTCTGTGGCTTTCTGTGGCTTCTTAAAGGAGCTGCTGCTGCAGAGCCAGCCCCGGCAACGTGTGCGTGTGCGTGTGTGTGTGTGTGTGTGTGTGTGTCTGTCTCTGTGTGTGCGTGTGTGTGTGTGTATGTCTGTGTGTGTGTATGTTTGTGTATGTCTCTGTGTGTGTATGTCTGTGTGTGGTGTGTGTGTATGTATGTCTCTGTGTGTGTATGTCTGTGTGTGGTGTGTGTATGTCTGTGTATGTCTGTGTGTGTATGTGTGTGTATGGTTGTGTGTGTGTATCTCTGTGTGTATATGTCTGTGTGTGTGGTGTGTGTGTGTCTGTGTGTGTGTGTATGTCTCTCTGAGTGTATATGTCTGTGTGTGTCTCTGTGTATGTATGTATGTGTGTGTATGTGTATGTATCTGCGTATGTGTGTGTCTGTGTATGTGTATGTCTCTCTGTGTATGTATGTCTGTGTGTATATGTGTGTGTGTCTGTGTGTGTGTATGTCTGTGTGTGTGTCTCTGTGTGTGTATATGTCTGTGTGTGTATGGTGTGTGTGTATATGTCTGTGTGTGTATGTGTATGTCTGTGTGTGTGGTGTGTGTATCTGTGTGTGTATGTGTCTGTGTGTGTCTGTGTGTGTGTATGGTGTGTGTGTATGGTGTGTGTGTGTGTATATGTCTGTGTGTATGTGTATGTCTCTCTGTGTGTGTATGTCTGTGTGTGTATGGTGTGTGTGTATGGTGTGTGTGTATATGTCTGTGTGTGTATCTGTGTGTTTATGTCTGTGTGTGTATGGTGTGTGTGTGTATATGTCTGTGTGTGTATGTGTATGTCTCTCTGTGTGTGTGTGTGTGTGTGTGTATGTCTGTGTGTATGGTGTGTATGGTGTATGTCTGTCTGTGTGTGTGTGGTGTGTGTGTGGTTGCACACGTGCACTGGGAACTCACATGGGTTCTTGGCTCGCCCAGGGAAGAGGTGCTTGGGGAGAGGTGTTTTGCATCAGGAAAAAGGTCCTTTGGGCGTGTGTGTTCACGTATTTCTCTCTCTCTCGCTCCCCCCTTTTCTCTGTGTGGTGGTCGCTCTCAGTGGCCAGAACAGCGAGGAAAAGGAAGCCCTCCCCGGAGCCAGAAGGGGACGTGGGGCCCCCAAAGATCAACGGCGAGGCCCAGGCGTGGCTGTCCACGTCGGACGGGCTCAAGATCCCCCTGAACTCCGCCGCCTCCTCCTCCTCCTCCTTCGTGTCCCCGCCGCCGCCCACCGCCTCGCCCCATTCCAGCCGCACCACCACGCCGCCCGACGCCGCCACGGCCGCCCAGAACGGCCAGTCGCCCATGGCCGCCCTCATCCTGGTGGCGGACAACGCGGGGGGCAGCGGCCACCCCAAAGATGCCAGCCAGGTCCACTCCAGCAGCGCCCGCCGGAACAGCAGCAGCCCGCCCTCGCCGTCCGCCGTGAACCAGAGAAGGCTGGGGGGCCCCCGGGAGGCGGGGGGCCAGGGCCCGGGCGGCACCGGCGGGGGCGGACTGGAGCCCGCGCACCCCGCCAGCCTCCCGGACTCCTCGCTGGCGGCCAGCGCCCCGCTGTGCTGCACCCTGTGCCACGAGCGGCTGGAGGACACGCACTTTGTGCAGTGCCCCTCGGTGCCCTCCCACAAGTTCTGCTTCCCCTGCTCCAGACAGAGCATCAAGCAGCAGGGCGCCAGCGGCGAGGTGTACTGCCCCAGCGGGGAGAAGTGCCCGCTGGTGGGCTCCAACGTGCCCTGGGCCTTCATGCAGGGCGAGATCGCCACCATCCTGGCCGGCGACGTGAAAGTGAAAAAGGAGCGGGACTCTTGACTGCCAGAACGCCGCCCGGACTGTATATATATCTCCCCATCTATACATACGTATATATATACACACACACACATATATATATATCTCCGAGACAAGGGAAACATGTAGACTTCATAAACGTGGGTGTATAATTTCGAATTTTTTTTTCTTTTTTTTGGAATACATTGTGTTTCTATATATATATATATATATTTTTTTTTTTTTTTTTTTTTTTTTGACAACGACAGGTATGTACTTATCGAGGCATTTCCTCCTCGCGTGACCGTTCCTCGCCGCGCTCTGTGCTTTCCGATCCCGGTGGCAGGGACCGTCCGTCCGGTGTAGGCTGTGACTATCGCTGCTTTGTTAGAGCACTTGGCAAACCCCCCCCCCCCCCCCCCCCAGATCCATGATGTGTGATGCACTTACTTTAAAAAGGAAGGAAGGAAAGAAGGAAGGAAAAAAAAAGCCAGATACATCCTCTGACGGCGTAAGATTGGCCTTACTGTCCGTCATTCCGTGTTGCTGGCCCCCCATCTCAGGCTGGAGGCCGACGGGGGGAGAAGGGGGGGGAGAAGGAGAGGGAGTGAGGGAGATGGCACCGCTGTGACGCAGGCACACCCCTGGGCAGCCTCCCCGAGGGCACCCCCCCTCCCCCCAAAAAAACCCAAACGCTGTCCCCCAAAAAGGAACCGGGAGGATAGATTGTTGTGAGTCTTGTCTTCGTTTTGCTTTTCAAGTGCGGTTGTTTGTTGAGACGTTGAGGATTCTGCCTGGGGGTTGCTGCTGAGAGATTTTGGGGGGACGGTGTGCTTTGGAGGGAGCGTTCTCGTTATTTAAGGCCACGTTGACCACGGCTCCCTCGCTGCCCGCGCCATCAGTTGTGAGGTTTCTGACGCTGCATGCTCGTCGGTTACATAACAGCCGGCGGCGGTGGCGTTGCTGTGCAGATGGCACTGCCATCTCCCCCCGGGGCCTGGCGCCGCCTCCTTGTAAACACCCCGAGCTCGGCTGTGCCCTTGGGAAGCGTGGCGTAGGGATCCCAGTCCCAGGGAACTCGGAGATGATGGCAGGGGTTGGTTTCGTTTCTGGTCCGCGTTGTGTTTTGTTGCAGGTTTTTTTTTGTGTTTTTTTTTTTTTTTAATGGTTCACCTACGGCGCTGTCGTTGGTAGCAGCACCCACAACCCCGCCTCCTGCTGCGCTGCCCAAGGCAGTCCCGGTGCAGACAGCCGCCGGGGCCACGGGGTGACAGCCCAGCGGGGGGCGGGGGACCTGTCACTTCCTCTGACCTGTGGAGGGAGAACACAGTCCTGGGGGGAGGGTGGGGGAGGGCACCCCGCGGACATCCAGATGTTTTTCCCAGCTCCCCCCAGAGCCTTTTGTAAACTAATTTCTTTCCGTCACTACCTTGCATCCGTGAAATGATTCTTTTTTTAACAAAAAAAAAAAAAACCACACACAATAAATCACCTGGGAATAGTAGACGTAGTTGTCTCCCAGCGATGCTGGTTTTTTCCCTCTCTCTCTCTCTCTCTCTCTCTCTCTCTCTCTCTCTCTTCTCTCTCTCGTGCCGTGTTCACCATCCCGAGGCCCTTTGATGTTCGGGTGCGTGTCGCTGGCCCTGACGTCGGGCTGAATCATCGTGTTCAAGGTCTGTTGGCAGCCTAGCGTGGTGGTGTGTCTTTCCACAGCCCGGCTGCTCCCTGCATCGGAGCACAAGGTTGCCACCCTAACCTCCTTGGGATTCTTTTTCCGTCGATGTATCCTGTCTTTGGAAAAGTGCTCAAAACAAAACAACACAAAAAAATTTTTTTGTAACGGTCGGGTTATCATAACCCTTGAAAAAAAATAACAAAACAGATAACTGCGCCAAATACAGTCTTTTTTTCCCCCCCCCCGTCGTTTTTAATGCGTGCCCCCTTGTTACTATTATTGTGCAGATTCGTTTTCCAAGTCCTTGTGAGACGGCCGGCAGACTTGCATGCTCAACCAGTTTGTTTCTTCTCCTTTTTTTTTTTTTTTTTTCTTTCAAGTCGGAGTAGCTATGACTCAGACCCAACCGGTTTCTCTTATGTAACGTCCGCAGGCGGGCAGCCTGTGTCCCACAGAGACGCGTGTAAAGAATCCGCACGACGATGGCCTGTTGTATGGACTTGATTCCCAGCTGGAGTTTGACCTCAGAGATGGTACACGTCGCTCCGCCGGCGTGTGACCTAATTTGTGGGAGCTATCTGTTATGGTTTGCAATCTCAACACAGATAAGCTTTAAAAAAAAAAAAAAAGAATGTTCTAGAACCGTCCTGCTGCTGTTCTGTATCCGTCTATCCAGCTGTGGAAAAGACAGCCTGTGTTTTTTTGTGTGTTTTTTTTTTCTGCTGATGGTGAACAGGGCAGGGGTGGGGAAAGACAGCCAGCAGCTTGTCGGGGCTGTGCTTGGATGGAGGTGACTCCCTGTTAAAAAAAAAAAAAAAAAAAAAAGATTTGCATGAGTCTGCCTGGCCTCCACGGGAGACTGGCAGCTGGGAAGTGTTGATCGGAGGGGTTATTTTCCTGGCTTTCCATGAGAAATTAAAAAAGAAAGTTGACACGGGGACAAGGGTCTGATCTGTTGTTCTACCTGATGACAGTCTAGTTTTCCACAGCTGGATAAAAAAAAAAAAAAAAAAAAAATGCCTGCGAGCTACTCAGATGTCAGATTCTAATATTTCAGATGTGCTTGGAATACCCAAAATATTACGGGGTTTTATTTTATTTTTTTTTGCTTTCCCGATTTATAGGATTCCCCAGATATGTACCCTTTCACGTGGCCTCACGTTAAACGTTATGGGAACGTTCCCCTGGTTTATAGCTTTTCCTCAATACCCCTTCTCCGGCCACTGCGTATTTTTACACGTGTGCCACCTCTGAACCTTGACTTTGACGTTGAAGGTGATAATACCTTTTCCTCTCTGTGACGCAACTCCTGTCGAACCGAAGTGCGTGTGTGTACTCTCTCCGCTACGACCATGATTCTGTTTTCAAAAAAAAAAAAATCACCACGTTGTGGAACTATCACCCGCGTTCTGTCATTTGTCAGATTTACAGTACCCTTTTTTTTTTTCTCTCTCCTCTAAAACTTTTAGCATTAAATAAAAATAAAATTGGGAGCACTGAACATTTTCTGAGGCCATTTTTTTTTTTTTTAAAGGGAGGGTAGACCACGGTGGTTGCTTTCATCACCAATGGCAGGAGGACTCAGGATGTGGGGGTTGGAGGGTTTAGGGGGTCGGGGTTTGGCTGGAACTGCAGTGCAGAGATAAAAGGACACAACAACAAGGCATCTGAGGGTAGAAAAATAAGAGGAGGGTGAGGGCAGGGACTGGGGAAAGGGCCACTGGAGAGACGGCCCAGAGCCAGAAAACTCTTGTTTATTGTTGAATTTGCAACAAGCCAGCCCTCCGCAATGACGGCATTGCAAACACTGTCAGGACAGGAGCTTGTGCTCTCTCTTTCTGGGAAATGGCCCTGTGGGGCCAGAGGAAATGCCCTGAAGGCAAAAGGGAAAGAAAGAAAGAAAATTAAAAAAAGCCATTCCTTGAAAAGTTCTGGAATAGGGTCAGGGCCCGTGTCCTGAAGGAGGTTTACAGATATGGCGAGGTGAAAGGAGGTACATTCCCAAACCACTGCACTCCACTGTCCCTTAAGAGATTCCTGGGCGTCTGCAGGTTTGACTCTGTGGATCAGTGGCTTGGCCTGCTCCTCTGTGAAAGGAAGTTGTGAAACAGTCCGAGGAGTTGGAGGACAGGGTGGGTACACACTCAGGCTTAGGGCGTGTTTTAAATTCAACAGCGCCAGCTCCCGGGGCCTGGGATATATTTTCATGTGGAATGGCCCAGTACCTCAAGGACTCATCCTTTTATTTTCATAATAGATGTAGCCCGTGGAAGGCGGTTTTCAAGAAACCGTATCCTTAAACAGTTCGTTCCAGATCATGCTACACAAGGTGCATTTCCTAATGGAAGGGAAGCGTTCAACTTTTTGTAGCTTAAAACGCTAGGCCTCGTTTTGAAGTTTAAAATCGTGCAGCTTGTGCAGACGTCATGTTTGAATTTCAAAAGCTCCTTTCAAAGGACGCTTTCATGATTGCATCCAGTTTCCAGTTTTTGAAAAACACAAAACAAACCAGACTCTTGATGTGGCAGATGTCTTTGTTTATATCCCGGCGGGGAGGGAGAGAAGTTACAGGGAAAATGTGGAGGGCTTTTTTTGTTTTGTTTTTAAGTCCCTGCTTCCTCCAAGAAGCAGCTTTGCCTCTGACAGATCGATGGCTTTATCGGGTGAGTGAAGAGTGAAAGGTTTTTCTTCCTGATTCCAAAGCGTAGACGTGGAGGGACCATTCAGAAAACACGCTCCGGGGCTGGCAGGCCAGGAGAAGCCTGAGTCACCCTCCCTCGCCTTTTTCTTGCGGGAACAGCGGGACACGCCTCTCCTCTGTCACAGCCCAAGGTCAGAGGCACCAGTGAAGGGGACACAGTTACCTGCTTCGTCCGTCCATCCTCCATCCTCCATCCATCCGACCCCTGAGGGGTCGAATTCATGCACTGGGCCTCATGCACACACACACTCTGAGTGGCCAGATTATTATGTGTTCAGAGATCACCATCATCTGGCCACTCAGTGTTTATGTACCCTGTTTCCCCGAAAATAAGACAGTGTCTTATATTAATTTTTGCTCCCAAAGATGCACTAGGTCTTATTTTCAGGGGATGTCTTATTTTTCCATGAAGAAGAATACAGTACACATTTATTGTTAAATGAAGATAAAGGAAATGTATTCCCTGGATACGGTACGGTAGTATGGTGGTTGTCAACACAAACCAGACAAACTGTGAATCCTACAGGATCAAGAATTGGCTCATTGATTCAATGACAATCATGTCATCATCTTCTGGAACATCATCATCACAATCCAATTCCTGAATTTCCTGGTGAATTTCTTGGGACTCCATTTCTTTCAGAATCAGGGGACCAAATCTCTCAT